TTTTTCTTGTATTATTCCCTCTTTATTACTTCCATTCTTGTATTCTTCCCTCCTTCTTTATTTCAATTTCTATTACCCCCCCCCTCTCCTTCCGTTATTATCATTTCCCTTCATTATTTTCCTTCTTCTTGAATTATTTCCCTCTTTCTCTATTACTTCCTTTCTTATATTCTTTCCCTCCCTCTTCTTCATTTCAATTCTCGCATTATTTCCCCCTTCTTCATTATCATTTCCCTTCTCCTATTATTTCCCTCCTTCTTCATTATTTCCCCTCTCCTTGAATTATTTTCCCTCTCCTCGAATTATTTCCTTTCCTCGTGCGTCCCAGAAGTCGGGAGTAAAGAAAGGGGAGAGGGGAGAGGGAGGGGAGAGAGGGGGGGGAGAAGGTCAACTAGAGGTCAAGAAGCGGGGAAGGAGAGTTGAGAAGCTAAACACACGAGAACTTAAAAGACTTGAGGAAAAAATTGATATTGCGCTATCATGTTGTATGATAATGCTTAATATACAGCGTGGTATTGTATTACAGTTTATCTTAAGTGATATTATATTAAGTTGAAAGGTTTGAGGAGGAAGATGAGAGAGGAAAGAAGATGGCGGTGCAGGATAATAAAGAGATTGGTGAAGAGATAAAGCTGTATTCATGTGCATATGATTAAATGGATAATAGACAGATAGATAAACAAATGGATAGATTAATGGGTGGATGGAAGCATAGAGAAAGGGATTGATAGTTGAACACTTTCTCAAGAAAATTGTATCGATTTTCCTAGTCCACACGCCCATGTTCAGCCACAGACAAAATTCTTGTCGTGACTTGGAGCTTCGAAACCATCTTAATGTAAACAAAAGTCATATTTTGTTTGGAAGCCTGTTTAACAAGAGGTTTTGACAGCGTATGTAAGTCATTTTTTTTTCAAAAACATAAAGACTAGCATATCTTCAACAGCCGTACATGTAGATATATCTTGAAAAATCTATCTATAAATACCTGCAGTACATCATATCCTCATAAACTCATAAACATCGATTCAAATCTAAAATCACAACATATACGCTGCCTCCTTATCCACACGCAAACGCCCATCCACATTCAAGCACATATACCCATATCCATCTATAGATACTTGGATAAATACATATCTAGTAAATACAGGAACCCAACAGCATCAACCCCAAGTCAGTCAGTGAGTAACCAGCCCACTCGAAACCACATATATTCAAATGAAAACCCACCTAGATCAGCACATATCAACATGGAAAATCAACCTCAATTGCCACTTCCCCATTCCACTTTCACAAGTACATACCCACATCCAAGACTAGCCACAAACACCGTTCCTCTACCCACATTCGTCGACCTACACTCAACCCCCACCTACCTACACACATCCACAATATACTCACACCCAAATGCAACCTCACAACCCTTAACCCACTAATTAACCCACTAATCCACATATATACCCACCTTCCCTCTTTTCATTAACCAGGACGACACAGCATGGGTTGGTGTGTTTGCCACAAACAACCCTTCACATCACCAAACCACATACACAACTCCCTTCCCCCACCCCCACCCCTACCCTTATCACCACAGGGACAATGTGATCTGGGTTGAAGTGGGCGGCCCAAACAACCCAGAAACTACCAAGCTACGTACCCCCTTTTCTCCACCAGGATGATATAGGCTGGGTTGCAGCGTGTCCCAAAACCCATACCCTAACCCACCAAGCTACTTATATACCCACCTTCCCCCTTATCACCCACCAGGACGATGCGGCCTAGGTTGGGGTGCGTGTCATAAACAACCCCTCAACCCACCAAACCCCATTATCTAACCCCTGTACAACTTATAGAAAATTTTCGTTAGAAAATCACGCAAAACTTGACACAAGCAACGATCTTTTTAAGATAATTGTTAACGCTACAAAACTGTGTTATCCCTGATTTTCCAACAATCTTCAGGTTCGAGTGACATCTAAATCCAGCATCACAGGCATATTCCATTCCTAACGGTAATACAACAATCATCTCACAGTAAATCCACACGAATTGCAGAACGACTTTTCTAGCCATGAACCGGAACGAGGCGAAGTCGGAACCCAAAATACCAACCCTTCCGTAACATAAACCTGATTACTATTGAATGTTTCAACACCCTAACAACAATTCTCTTAGTAGCTGTAGCAAAAAAGCAACCCACCAACCCACCAACCCACCCATCTAACCCAGCCCCCCTCTCTCCCCACCAGGACCATGCGGTCGGGGCTGGAGTGTGTGCACCGACACGTCACCAACCCACCAACCCACCCATCTAACCCCCCCTCTCTCCCCACCAGGACCATGCGGTCGGGGCTGGAGTGTGTGTGGTGCGGTTGGAGTGTGCACCGACACGTCACCAAGTGCTTCGACGAGACACGACAGCGGGTTATCTACCAGCTGCTGTCGGGCACGGAGAGCATCATCGACAGCTTGTGCAATAAGGGCTCTTTTCGGGATA